TCTCTCCCTATTTATTTCAAAACCCCCTTCCCCTCCCCCTTTTCTGATGAAGGGTCTAGGCCCGAAACGTCAGCCTCTCTGCTCCTATGATGCTGCTTGGCCTGCTGTGTTCATCCAGCCCTGCACCTTGTTGTCTTGGAACAATATGGCTCCAGCTTGTAGATTTTCTTGTCCATGAATACAGGCCGTCATTTGCCATCATTACAATGTACAACAGAAACCAATTCCACAGGAATCCTCAGTGTAAACCTGCAGTACATTCCTTAGCACAATCCAACACTAAATGAGAGAAAGAGATTCACTTTTGCAAACTTTACAGATGATCCTGGGATCCTCTTGAAACTCACTCATTTAGGACAGTAATGCTTGCTTGCCAACCAAAGACCAAAATATTGTAAAATATTTAGCGCACACACCCTGAGAAAGGGTTCTTTTGATAAATAAACATCACGTGTTGATGAAAAACAGACCTTTCCGGAATGCTTTCAAGTCAGGTGCTGACAAATGCGATCATGGCTGGAGAACAAACAAGTTTCATGATCATGTCCAATAGATGATTGGAACGATGACTGGATTTTATTTGACATCAATATTACTTGAAACCGTGGATTACTGTACTAACAGTTAAATTGTGCAAAAGCTAGCATGTCTCACTTTTGGTCCTAACTCCAGAAAATGCTTCATATTGTTGCGACTCAAGATGGGCTAAGAGATTTGATAGTGATTTTTGAATAAGTGACCAAGATGATAGATGAAGGCAGAACAGTGGACATTCTCTATATGGACTTTAGCAAGGCCTTCGACAACGTTTCGCATGGTATACTGGTTACTGATGTTGATCACATGGGATCCAGGGAAAGCTAGTCAAATGGATACAAAATTGGCTTGATGGTAGGAGAAATAGGATGGCGATAGAGGATTTTTTGTTCAGACTGGAGGCCCGTGACCAGTGGTGTGTTCCAAGGTTCGGTGCTGGATCCACCACTGTTCATTACTTACATTCTCATCCAAATTGATTAAGGGGCATGGTTACTAAGTTTGCAGATGACACCAAAATAGATGGTGTAGTGGACAGGAGGTTACCCAAGAGTACAATGGGATCTTGATAAACTGGACAAATGGACAAAAGAATGGCAGATGGCGTTTAATTTGGATAAATGCAAGGTGTTGCATTTTGCCAAGACAAACCAAGGCAGGACATACAGGCCCCGGGGAATGTTCTTGAACACCGAGTGCCGGGGATGCCGGTGTATAGTTCAAAGCAGAGTTGCAGATAGACAGCGGGGTGAAGGCAGCATTTGGCATGCTTGCCTCCAAAAATTGGTCAGAGCATTGAGTATGGGATTTGGGATGTTGTGTTACAGCTGTACAAGACATTAGTACTCCAAATGTAGCTTTGCCAATGTACAATTCTGGTCACCCTCTTATAGGAAGAACGTTATTAAACTGGAAAGGGTACATAAAAGATTTACATAGGATGTTGTAAAGACTGGAAGGTTGGAGTTATAAGGAGATGATGGACAGGCTGAGACTTTTTCTCTCCTGGAGCACAGGAGGTTGTAGGGTGACCTTATAGACGTTTATAAAATCATGAGATGTACAGAGAAGTTGAAATGCAATGGTCTTTTCCCCAGGGCAGCGGAGTTCAAAGGTAGAGGGCTTTTTCTTCTTTTTAAAAAGAGACAGGAGAAAGATTTAAAAAGAGACCCAAGGGGAACCTTTTTCACACAGAGGGTGGTTCATAAGTGGAATGAACTGCCAGAGGAAGTGGTTGATGCAAGGACAGTTACAACATTTAAAACACATTAGGACAGGTACACAAATAGGGAAAATATTACAAGGATATAGGCCGAATGGGACGAAAATCAGTTTTGGATATCTGGTCAGCAGAAGAACACAGGAAATAGGAGGGGTGGGCCATCTGGCCTGTTCAGCCTACTTTGCCGTTCAAAAAGATCATGACTAATCTTGTTGGACTCCGCTCCACCTACCCACCCGCTCACTGTAACCCTTAATTCCTTTACTGTTCAACAATCTGTCTTTGCCTTAAAAGCATTTAACATGGTAGCCTCAACTGCTTCACTGGGCACGAAATTCCACAGATTCACTATCCTTTGGGTGAAGAAGTTCCTCCTCAACTCAGTGCTAAATCTGCTCCCCTTTATTTTGAGGCTATGCCAAGTTCTCGTTTCATTCACTAGTGGAAGCAACCTCCCTGCTTCTCTTATCTATTCCCTTCAGAATTTTATATGTTTCTATAAGAATCACACCCCATTCTTCTAAATTCCAATGAGCACAGTTCCAGTCTATTCAACCTCTCCACATAAACCCGCCAACTCCAGTGCCAGTACATCCTTTCTCAAGTAAGGAGATCAAAACTGTACACAGTACTCCAGGTGGCTTCACCAGCACCTCAAACAGCTACAGCATAACCTCCCTATTTTAAAACTCCATCCCTAGCATGAACAAGCTGGAACAAAGGTTTTGTTTCCATGCTGCATGACTCTAGGACAAAGTTGATTAAGCACCACATAAGATTCCAGGCTTTGCAAATTGAGGAGCAGAGTACTAAAAGTCAAGGAATTGTGCTAAATCTTCAAAAGGCTCGATCTCAGTTGCAGCATTACCCAATACTGGGTATCATGCTTCAGGTGGGATATCAAGTGCCATGGAGAGGGTGTAGAAGAGTTTTACTACACGTGATACAGTGGTGAGAGGGTTCAAGTTTGTTGACAGGCTCGAGGAGCTTGGATTCTTCTCTTTACAACAAAAATTGGTCTTGTTCTTTAATACTTGTTCAGAAAGATTATTGACAAAGGAAACAGAGAAGAATTGGCTCTTACCCCTTCTGTCACTACAAAAGGTCTGATCAAGTACAGTCAGCATGGTTTCTCAGAGGGATGTCATGCTTAACAAATCTGGTGGAATTGACAGATGACGACCAAGTGCTTGGATAGCAAGGCAGCTGATGCAGTTGATATGGATTTCAGCAAGGCTTTTGACAAGGTACAACATGGGAAACTGATTAAGGGAAAAGTTCATGGGATCCAGGCTAACTTGGCAAGGTAGATCAAAAATTAGCTTAGTCACAGGAGAAAGACAGAGTGGTGATAGAAGGCTTGCATGACGAGAGCCTGATGTGCAGTGGCGTACCACAGGGATCAGAGTAGGGTCCCTTGCCATTTGTGATAATCATAAAATGATGGAGATGACAATGTGGGATGGATGGTAAGAAAGTTTATGAATGACACAAAGATTGGTTGCAGTGCTGGCAGCGAAGCGGAAGATGTTAGATTAAAGAAAGTAAACAGATTGGTCAGATGGCAGATCAAAAGGTAAATGGAATTTAATCCTGAAAAATGTGAGGTGATGCACTGTGGAAGAAGGAACAAGGTAAGAAGGTATTCAAATAGCAATACACTGGGAAACTCAGGAGGAATCTTGGGGTGCTTGCCCACAGATCCCTGAAGGTGGCAGGACAGGGTAATAAGATAGTTAAGGCAGCTTATGGGATGCGTGTCTTTATCAGTGGTGGCACATATTAAAGACAAGGGAAGTCAGGTTGAAGCTGAACAGAACTTTGGTTAGACCACAGTCGGAGTACTGTATGCCGATCTCGTCACCACACTGTAGGAGGGATGTAATTGCACTGAAGGTGCAGACAAAATTTGTTAGAACATTGCCTGGGATGGAGTTCCTGAAGGAGGCTGGACAACAATTGGTTGTTTCCTTTGGAGCAGAGAAGGTTGACGAGGGACCTGGTAGAGGTGCTTAAGATTATAAAGGCACAGACATGGTGAATAGAAAACAAAATGTTCCCCTCAAAAGGATCACTAACAAGGTAGCATAATTCTAAAGTGAAAGGCAGGTGGTTTAGAGGGGTTGAGGGGAAAATCTTTTAATCCAGAAAGTGTTGGAGTCTTGAATGCACTACCTAGGAGGGTAACTGAGGCAGTAACTCTCAACCTTTTAAAAAGTACTTTGAGTACTGGAAGTGTCAAAATTTTCAAGGATATGGGCATAGTGAGGGAAACATGGGACCAGTCTTGGTAATATTATATTTGTAGGTAGTAGTGTGATTGCAAGATTAAAAGAATTCTAATGATTGAGAGATAGAAATTTAAGGTAATTGCCAAAAGAACCAAAAAAGGTGCCATGCAAAATGTATTTTAAAATGCAGAAAAATTACAGCAATCTGGAATGCACTTGTTGTAAAGATTGTGCACAAAGATTCAAAAGTAGCTTTTGGAAAAAGAAAAAAAAAAAAAAAAAGTTGGAAAAATACATGCAGATTTTTTTTGCAAAGATTTTAAGAAAGTCAAATTGCATAGAAAAAAACCAACTACCACAGGCAAGCTGAACCCAACGGCCTTCTTCTGGAGGGGATGCTAAATCACTGGACAAATTTCATCTTATCTTGAGGGCACCAATTCATGCTCAGGAACCATTGCCAAGCCTTCTTCATCTCTAAGCAGTCATAATTCATATACAACGCCCAGACAGCATTGGTCTTTGATGACAAGGTTTCATAACTAGGACAGCCACGATGTTCACTAGAGGTCACTGGATACTAAACAACATACGTACTTTGTTTAATTGCTGTTCAATGAGCCAAACAGACACAAGGGAGCCGGCAGACTAGATATAGACACATTCCTACTCTGTCACACAAGGCCTGTTTCCCAGAACTCAACCTAGCACTTTCCAATTAATACACCTACTGCAGTATCAAGACAGCACATTTAGCCCTGTAAAAAGTTTTTCGATATCAATGGACGTAAAAAGGATGACACTTTCGACATGACTGACAAGGACTGATGTCCAACAAATTGGATACACTATACTGTAATAAGGGGACTTTGAATGCCATTAAACACCTACTCAGTAGTGCCTCTTGAATTACCACAGCTATCTTTACCTGCTTGATTTGTTCCCAAAGCAGTCGGGACACCGTTGATCCTGAATGGAACGTGACCTCAACGTGATATGCAGCATTTAATATCTAGGAAAAAAACATTATTATTATCTTCCAAAAAACTGAACAGGTACAGTTGCTAGTTTCAATTGAAAGCACAATATCATGTTGGCAAAAGACATACAGCAAGGAGCAGCTAACTGGATTTGAATAAGCGGACTTTGCATTCATAGTTCCCAAAGTTTAAATTTCATTTGTGTACGGGTCTGCTCTGGACTACTTAGAATAGTACAAGGCAAACTTGATGAACCTCTGTCTATTTTTACCATCAATTTCTATGATGCATGAAGTTCAAGTTTCCTTGCTTTCCTTGTAGCAGCTTCCCCACTCCAAACCTCATTCATTTGAGCCTGAACTCAATCTGCTTTTGGCATCTCCCAAACAATGACAGACTCTGACACTCAACTCCCACTTGCTGGCATTGGGGTACACCCATTAAACTATTCAGCACAACCCAGATCACAACTCACTGCCCAAAATAATTCCCATCTTGCCTCTTGCTCTTGTGCCAGAGGTGCGCATTGAAACAAAACATTTGCAAAAACTGTCACAGTTAACTTGCAGAATTTTCATTGTGGACACCCTCCAGGGCTGTGCTGCAGATTCTCTGCATTCAGCTCACGAATTATAACCTACTCTTGACTTACCTGCTTCAAGTGATTGCTGGTGGCATTGTTCATGGCAGAATCCTGGTTGGATTTTTCCAAGCTCTTGAGACAGCGTTCAAGGGTCCCAACGAAACTCTCTCGAAGATAGTCTACAGAACTGATCAGTTTATTGGCAACGGCCTGATTTAACCGAGAAATAATCAACTCTTGAATCTGTTTGATGCAGCACTTAATGTCCTTATTGCCAACAGTCTCACCACTCTCAGAGATGATTATGTCTTGAGAGATAGGAAGGAAAAGGTATAATGAACATGATTGGCATTAGCCTTGTTCTGCAAGACTCAAATCACAAAATTGAGAAATTTCGTTTTGATGCTATCATTTCTAAAGTGCACTGATGACAAAACTAGAGATTACAAAGTCTCAATTACTCAACACATGCTCATCATCACATTATTCAAATCGATTTCAACAAAGTTAGGGAAACAGGGAGAACATCAAGCAAGTGGCTGATGACTAAATGTAAAGTCATTAGCAGAACACAGGATTTGAAACTGGAGCTGAGTTTTGAAGAGAAACCGAATTTCAAATGTTAAGTGCTTTCTCTCCACAGATGCTGCCTGACCCGAGTTGCTCCAGCAACCTCTGTTCTGGTTTCAGATCACCAGCATCTGCAGTTCTGTTTGATTTTCATGTCTGAAATGTGGTTGGTTGCACAATAAATTAACATATTGCAGTGAAATCTTCAATGCAGCTTGTGACATTAAGATTCAACGCATGTTAGATCTCCAAAATCTCTATTCCATCCCTGGAGAAGAATCCAGCTGAACAGTTAAACTCCCAAATTTACATTTGGTATGTTTAGTGGCAATAATGGAAAGTACAGACCCTTAAAAAGGTCCGTTTTTATGGATGGCACAAGAATAAGAAGAGGTCATTCAGTCCTAAGCTTACTTCATTATTCAAATATGACCTTGGTAGATCAGCACCTTAACTCCATCCAGCTGCCTAGGCTACAAATCAAATGAACAATAAACAGAACAAAGAACAGTACAGTGCAGGATCAGGTCCTTTGGCTCACTAAGACTGTGCTAACACGACGCCTTTTTAAATTAAAAACCTTGTGCCTACATGGTCCGTACACCTCTATTCCCTGCCTGTTCATTTATCTATGAAGCAGCAAGTCAGAAACATGAATTAAGAGTTCAACACATGGAAGTAAATTGGCTTAACTTGAACTTATGCCATTGCGTGGGTCAGGCAAACAGTTCTGATGGAAGATTCTTACCCCAATTATTCATTTAGACTGTTGCACAATGATACCAGTATGTTAAATGATACTCTTGCCTTTAGCGAGACAGAGCAGAACCAAGTGATACCATCTCACAAGGTCTTGATTATTTACAAAGATGGAAGAAGAAACACGTTCACTCAAAATTCTCTACCTAGAGGGCTCTCACCATCTTCAAGGCAGAAATTGACCTTTGGACTCTGGGGACAAAGTATGGCTACGAGCATTCAGACTCTTCATATCAAAGCAAAACTGCAAAGCTACAATTCCAGTACTTTATTCTCCTAGGTAAAAGCAGAGCCCTGATGCTAAGTTCATTCACTCTGAAGCTATCCGCCATCTAAGCCTTGCAAATATATGGACATTTGCGACTGTCCGCAGAAATACAGTGGTTTATGACTTCAACACTCAAACAATGCTAAACAATTCTTCTGTATTATTGCAATTTAGAAACTGCTTTTGAAGTGGCAGTGTTTTTCACAATGAAATCAACAGACTCTGACTTGGCATTGTCATCCTTGTCCTCCATTTTGTTAAATTTCTTTTTAATATGCACAATTCACAATGCTTTTAATATCCATAAGCCATAATCCTCTTAAGGCATGGCCTACTTTGAACCTTGGCAACTAATTTTATGAAAAACCACAAATTTGTTTCAAATTATCAAGAAATAGTCACTAATATTCAAATAGACAGGATTTTTAAAGTGACTGCTTTTTATTATTGCATACTGGAAGCAACCTGTCTGAATCAGTCCAGTGGTGGATCTACAGAAGTCAACGTGTCATCTCTGGGTAGGTGGTACAAGACTGAAAGAAAACTGCTCGTCAGATAAAGACGACACACTGTATCTGGCTAATTGGAAGCTACAGATCCCCTTGTTGCTAATGGAATCCTAGAATTAGACAGCATAGAGAAAGGCCACTGGACTCTCTCTGTACTGGCTCCTGTAAGAGCAACCTGTTATGGGCAAACAATGCTGCTGAGCCAGCAATGCCCTCATCCAGTGAATGGATGACAAAAACCTACCTAGTCCCATTCTCCAGCCCTCCCTGCAACGCTCAATTCATCTCTTTTGAAAACTCATATGGAATTTGCCTCCACAACTCTCCCAGGCAGGACATACCAAAACCAAACAACTCTCTCTCAAGGAGTTTCTACTAAACTCACTCCTAACTCTTTTACTGACAATCTTGAGATTGGGACTCCCAGTTACTGATACACCAACTAGCGGAAACAGGTGATCATTGTTTGTTCTGTCTAAATTCTTCATAATTTTGAACACCTCAATAAAAGGTCACCTCTTCATTGTCTCTGCTCCTAAGAAAATCAGCCCAATCTCTAACCTTTCCTTGTATCTGAAATCTCTCATTCTTTGTATCCTTCGAGTAAATCTCCTTTGAAATCTCTAGGATTTTAACATTCTTCCTTAAATGGGGTGCCCAGGAATGAACACAATGCTCCAACTGTGCTCTGACCAATGACTTGGAGAGGCGTGGCATTATTTCCTTTAAGACTCGCTGCCTCTATTTATAAGCCCAAGTAGCCTATAAGCCTTCTGAACAACTGTTTCAACTTGCCTGGCCACCTTCAGAGAATTATGCACGTAAACCCAGAGGTTCCTCTGCTTCTGTATTCCCCTTAAAGTTGTACCATTAAGCCTGTATTGTCTCTCCAAGTTTGTTTTACCAAAATGCTTTGCCTCATTTCTCTGCATTGAAATTCATCTGCTAGGTGTCTGTCCATTTGGTCAATTTCTCAATGTCCATCTGAAGTCACTCAAGTCATCCTCACTATTCACTGTAGCTTAATATCCTCTTTAAATAAACAAATCAGAAAAAGCAGAAGTCCCCACACCGATCCTTGGGGAATACCACTTTCAACTTATCTCCAATGTCAGAATGCCAATCTCTAACAATCCTCTGTTTACTATTTTTTGGCCAACTATAATTCATTCAGCCAAGGAACCATCAAACCCAAACAATTCCAATTTGCCAGCCAACCTGCTGTGTCACCTGTCAAAATCCAAATATACAATATCAACAGCAACAGCACTGTCCTCATCCACTGCCTGTTTCACCCCAAAGAATTCAATTAAATTTGTCAGACATGACATGTCCTCAACAAAGCCATGGTGACTGTCAAGTATTAACCTATAAGCAATATAAATTGAAAACAACAAACAACTTTACAGATAGTAGGAACTGCCGATGCTGGAGTCGGAGATAACAAGGTTTGGAGCTGGATGAACACAGCAGGCCAGGCAGCATCAGAACAGCAGGAAAGCTGACGTTTCGGCTGAAGGATCCCGACCCGAAATGTCAGCTTTCCTGCTCCTCTGATGCTGCCTGGCCTGCTGTGTTAATCCAGCTCCACACCTTGTTATTATAAGCAACTTTAGAGCCAGTTTTCCCACTAATGTCAAGCTAAAAGCTCTATAGTTGCTTAAATTGTCCTTTGCCCCTTTAAGGAATATCACATTTGCAATCCTCCAGTCCCGTGGGACTAATCTCGCATTCAGAGGGGTCTGGAAAACCTGTCAGCGGCTCTGTAATTTGCTCCCTTACCCGTCAGCAATCTGGGATGCATCTCATCCACGCCTGGTGACTTTCTACCTGGAGTTGTCAGCCTTTTTTAAATGCAGCTCTATTTATTACTGTACTGTTCAGTTGTTCAACACCCACATTTTCAACTGGGCCATAGTCACCATTTTCTAAATTGGGTAAAGTCAAAAGCAAAGGTCGACACATCCTTTGCTTCAGTAAGTAGCTGACCCTGCTTGATCTGTATGAACCCCACTTTATCCTTCATTTCCCTTTTAATATTAACATAACTGTAGAACATTTTACTGTTTGTTTTAGTGCAGCCTGCCATCCTTTCCTCATGCTTCCTCTTCACCTTCCTTATTCCAGCCTTCGTCTTCCAGAATAATAGCAGCAATAGAAATCAGGTATACATCATACATCTCCTTATTTTCTTACTGTGATCCTCAGCCAGTACACAGTACTTTTGGAGACCCTGTATTTATTCCTCATGGCTACGTACCTAGCTTGCACGCTATTCATCTCCCTTTAAAATCTCCCATTTTACATTCACCGTTTTATCCATCAAAATGCACATCTAATCAGCATGCTCCACTTCAACTTTCAGACCCCTAAAATCTGTCTTTTGCCAGTCTGCAATCTTAATCATGGACTGATTTTTATCTCTTTCCAATTTAATGTTGAACCATATCATATTTTATGCCTGCAATTTCCCAACTGACCCACACTCTGACACGGTCCATCTGGCCTGCTTATTTCCTAGGACCAGATCCAGCACAGCTCCATTTCTGGTAGAGTGATCCAGAAAATTTTCTTGCACACACTGCAGGAACTTTTCCCCTTCCATGCCCTACACTCTGTACCTTTTTGCCCAGTCTACACACTGTACCTTTTTGCCCAGTCTACACTAGGGTAACTGGAATCACCAACTATCACAACTGAACTTTGCCTGCAGATTCTGTAATCTGCCTACAAATGCTCCTTTCTGCCTCCTCCCCACTATTTGGTAGTCTATTAAAAAAAATACCCAAACTCATTCCTACCTTGCCGTTTCTCACGTCCAGTCATATTCAGAAACTGCTAATATAAACAAGGATTTAAAAACAAGAATTTGGGACTTTGGTAAAACTTTACGTTACAGGAGGGTTTAAGTTCAAGGCAGACTATGAAAGAAGCAAAAAGGAAGGATAACTCAGGAGATATTATTAGAGATGTTGGAAATCATGAGGGTAAGAAAGCTAGCATAAAGGCACTTTACTTGAATGCTCGTAGCATTCGTAACAAGGTTGATGAGTTAACGGCACAAATCATCGCGAATGAATATGACTTGGTAGCCATTACAGAGACATGGTTACAGGATGCTCACGACTGGGAGTTAAATATCCAAGGGTACCAGACTATTCGGAAGGACAGACAGGAAGGTAAGGGAGGTGGTGTAGCTCTG